GGGGGGAGGAGGCGGGGGGGGGTAAGGAGGGGTCAGTGGGGGGCGGGAGGAGCAGCGGGGGGGCAAGAGGGGGTGCTTGGGCCACGGGGAGGGCTCTCCCGCAGCCCCTTTGCCTCTCCCCGCCCCCCCCAGTCCTCTTCTGGGGCAGTGTTTCTCAACCTTGACCATTTTAAGGCATGTGGACTTCAACTCCCAGAATTCCACAGCCAGCAAAGCTGGCTGTGGAATTCTGGGAGTTGAAGTCCACATGCCTTAAAATGGTCAAGGTTGAGAAACACTGTTCTAGGGCGAAAAAGGGGGTCGACGGGTGGTTTTCAACCGTGGCAAAAGCCGCAGCAGCCAAAAAAAGCTAACCCAATCCTGGGTTGTATAAACAGAGGCCTAGAATCAAGACCATTCAGCTCTCAAAAAGAGACCATTATGCATATGCCCACATACACAGACATCCAGGGCTGTGGAGTCGGAGGAAATTTTGGGTACCTGGAGTCGGAGTCGGAGTCGGCAAACAATGCACCGACTCCGACTCCTACTAAATTTAGATTGGAATTTAAAAAAAAAGCAAGTTTAAATGTCCCAATTCACGAAAAGTTATAATGAATGACTTCTCTACTGTAAGAATAAAGACCAATGCATGCAGTGCCTCACGTAACCGCAAAACGAACACGTTAAGTGACCGTGAAGAAGCATGCTTTTCATGTGCTTCACTATGTGGCACGCAACGCACAATTAGGAGCGGCAATACTTATACTTTCCATAGTGTTGTGTTCTGCTGTTACAGGGAACGCAGCAGCGCCCATGGGTAACCTAGCCTCTCACGGAGAAGGGATTAAGTAAATATGTTTTTTTGCAGGACTAGAGACACTTGTATAAGTGAAGGGAATGGAGGGTCAATAGTTCAAGACTGAAGCTGTAAACCATTGGGAAAACTGCTGTCATTCAGCTAAGGCTATAAAAACTTGTAAACTCCGATTGTTAGCTTATTAATACAGAGGAGTCGGGGAGTCGGAGTCGGAAGTACAAAAAACTGAGGAGTCGGAGTCGGAACATTTATCTACCGACTCCACAGCCCTGCAGACATCTATGACACAGAAAAACATCGTCTAGTTCCAATGTATACGTAAATTACCAAGGTTGGGGACAATGGAGAGCATAGTGTTGATGCTGTGTGATGCTATTGTAGCCTTTTAATGTGGATTATGGCCGTGTTTTTCAGCCTCAGCAACCTTGGGATGGATGGACTCCAGTCCCAGGATTCCCCAGCCAGCAGCTGAAATTTTACGGGAGTAGGGCGTCCACCCATCATAAGTTCCTCTGGCCAGCCTCCTTTGCCCACCTTTGTCTTAAGGCAGGGGTCTCCAAACTTGGCCACTTTAAGACTTGTGGACTTCAACTCCCAGAATTCCCCAGCCAGCATGTTGAGTGACAGTTGAGTTGAAGTCCACAAGTCATAAAAGGGCCAAGTTTGAAGATCCCTGACTTAAAAGGTGTCTCAGGTTCCTTTCTTTTGTGTATTTATTGTATTTGTGTAGCTACCCACGTCAAAGCAACCCTGAGTGGCATACGGCACGCCTTTAGTTTCTCGTAATCCTCCTTTTGCTGATAGGCATAGTTGATCTGCGTGTAATCCTTGCTTTATGCTAGAAATCTTTGTTCATCAAATGCCCTTTTCACTCAGGGCATTCTCCGCCCTTTTTTGTTTCCTGCTGTCAGAGTATCTCCTCCTAAAAGCCACTGGGACCTTTTTCTCTTGGAGGTTTTGAGAACATTTTCCCATAATATCGGGAGACGACCTCGGGCTTTTCGTAGCTTTTTCCTTCTTCATATCTGGGGTCGCAGCAAGCCTCTTGATATCCCAGGACTTCGAGAAAAGCATAACTTATCTCACTGCTTTGGAATGTTGTTACGACACTCTTGAGGTCAC